AAAATGTCATATTACATGACACGACATGATCCTTACACTGTCATATGTCATGTTGGCCTACCATAAAAAAAATAATATAAATGTAACATAAAACAAAGTAAGTTCCACGCTTCTATTATACACCCATCACATCCGCCGGACTAATTCGATTGGCCTTAAATAAATTTAACCGACTATCGGCCTGGCGAAGTGAGTCGTGAAAAAATCTGTAAAAAATATTACACTTGAATCAAAAATCTAAACATGGCATTGGTTCAAGGTGTACTTGGTTGTCCTATCTACAGAGAGCAATCAGTCGGGCCTGAAACATTTTAATAGTTGTGTTATATCTAAATCCTCACATGTGGTATTGTTCATCAAGGCCTGATAATGTACAGAAGAGGAAAGACACGTTTAGCACCACCAGCGGTTGACAAATTACCGTGCCCTAAAAAATATTCGGGATGAAACTAAAGATGAGAACTAGAGCTAATTCAACACAATTTATTTCGAAAACAATACAGCATATAAAATCTATAATTGGCGACATTACAAAATTACCTAATTCTGATGATCTTCAGAATTCTGTCCGATTTTGCTTTGATTTGCTTTTCTAGTACTCATAAAATGTAAAGCTTCTGTAACTGCTGATGATCTCTCTAATTCCCTAATGCTTATATAGGCGAGGCGAGCTAATTTCAAAATTGGAGTGACCCCAAACAAATTGCAAAAGAAACCAATACAATTGGACTCGATCATACAAATATTAGACAACATCATACTCAAATTTGGCCTAAGTCGGCCATAGCGAAATGACGTAATTAACATAATTCATTATGGCGGTCTCCGGGAAGTTTGAGAGCGAAACCTCATAACCATCGCGTTACGAAAATAACAAATTTGAACAAAACAATTAAAAAATGTATTTTTACATGGTGCCGGCCATTTATTCAAAATGACTTCATAATTTGGTATTAAAATGGCATTGTCCACTTATATAACCAGTTACTACCTCGTAAGATATGACTTTTACAGTCAGCCCGCGAGTCTTATCTCAAAGAGCTTGACACCATACTGGTATCAGTCATGGCAGTATTGCGAATACCCCTTTCTTTAGTACTCCACCCTGGACTATATCGCCCCAAAAGATAGATTTAGATCTAACGAAAAACAAAAAGAAAGATACTAGTTCAACGGTGTTTCAGTCTCTCTTTCGAGAGTTAAGGTCTAAATATGGTGATTATGCTCCCATTTACAAAGATGGTTCCAAAGATGGTGATCGGGTAGCTTCGGCTACCATCATACCATCTGGAATCATTTCTGTCAGACTTCCACCTGCCGCTTCCATATTTTCTGCTGAGCTACAGGCTATCTTTCAGGCTTTGGAGTTCATTCAATCATCTACATCTTTAAAACACACTATATTCACTGATTCTTTGTCCTCTTTACAGGCAATAAACAATAAGCTGCTTGTACACCCATTGGCAGCAGACATTTAGCGTCTGCTACTATCGCACGAGTTGGGCAGCAAAGACATTGTCCTTTGCTGGCTCCCAAGTCACATGGATATAAAAGGAAACGATCAAGCAGATTTGGCTGCCAAAACTTAGATCTTCCCTTATCCTATTTTATAATAACATACACAGATTTTAAATCTTGCATTAATCATTTCATTTATGGCCGCTGGCAGCGGTCTTGGGATCTTGCAGGCACAAATAAACTTCATCACATTAAGCCTCTCTTAGGAGATTGGCCCAACTCCTATAGAACCAACAGGAGGGATGAAGTTGTTTTGTGTCGCTCTCGCATTGGTCATACCTTTTTAACACACATTTTCATTTTGAAGCGAGAGCCTCAACCGGAATGTGTTCACTGTCATGTTCCTTTGACAGTGAAGCACATTTTGATTGAGTGCAATCATCTCAAGAACATAAGATCGAAATATTACCGTTGCCATTCTCTACGTCATATATTTGCCCAACCGGGTTTATATTGTAACATACTAGACTTTTTAAAAGAGACATGTTTTTATCATAAATTTTAATTGTATATATATCATTTCATTTTTGTATTTTAAATATTAATATGCATAAAAGGTTTATTTCATTTTTAATTTTAGTTACTGTGATATTGTTTTTATTTATGCATATAATACTTTTTCTGTGATATTTATTTAACTTTTCTCGCATAAATCACCATATGTTTGGCGCAATATAGCCCGGTGTGTGCTGACGTGGTGCAATAAAACCACATTTCATGACTTTTACAACATCTTTTATATGGTTTTTGATGCCTCTGAATTGAAAAATGAATTTCGAAAATCCAACATGGAGGAAATTCAAAATGGCAGCTAGAATGGAATCCAAAATGGCGGATTTTAAATAAATCATAATTCTTTCCTGTGACATCAATTCCGATCCATAAACTAACTTTAAATAGCCCGGTGCAATTTCGCTTTTTTCATTTGGTCTGTCTTTGCATCATCTTCACCGGGGTTAAAAGTGGTTTCGATATAAGAATTTGCGCCCTAATATTGGTTCAGAAATAGTTATGTGATCCATGTTTACAGCCCTTGTGGTATCAATTCCAGGGATGTACTGAAAATGAGCCTGTGAGTATAGTAGTTTCACGGGTCCTTACACTAGTTAATGTTCTTGCGTAGTTTAGGGTTCCCCTTTTAGTCATGAATTTAAGTCGTATTTTAAGAATTGTTAAGATTGTCTCACGTTAAATATGTGAATAAGCTAGAAACATCAGGATATACCCATGAAATGAATAAGAGACAGGATCGGATCGGGGGCGGAGCTTCCCTGAACCTGGCTTCGCAAGGGGTTCCCACTCTATGGGTGGGGATGGGGGGTTGTCCAGTGGGATTTTCTGCTCCTCTTTTAGAAACCTGACTGTAAATGGTGTTTTCTAGACTATATCCTAATGTTCCTAGCTAATGTACAAATTTGGTGTGTGACAATCTTATCTGAAATTAATTTTTTAACACAATATTAAAGTAGCTAAGTCTCTAACTCAATATCTTTCAAAGTGTTCGACATTGAAAACACGAATTATTTGTCAATTTAAATCAACATTGATTTTCTGGTCTTACCTGGAAAATATGGGCTTCTGATATCCAATATTTAAGACAAAATACACATTGGTACTCGAATCGTGTACCATAATGCGTTTCAGCGCCATTTGCAACAAGGAACTCGAAGAACGGGGCTAGACATATTCCACAAGTCATGTCAAACGGTGACGCCATATTCTTATCTGCAGAGTATGCGCAATAAATACTATCGGGGTAGACTGGAATAACCAGACACTAGATATTGCTATTCGATTGGGACTTCTGGCGTATTTCGCCGGACCTAACTGTTTTGAAATTAAAGTAAAAAAGTATAAATACATTCATATCACATTATTATATGCGTTGCTACCCATCTGTGTCAATTTCTAGGTCCTAAATATTAGCGACTTAGCTCCTTTAAATTCAGTAACCCTGAAAACCTTATTTTACAAGCAATATCCACAAGACCAAAAATCGCTATTTTGGATTCTATTTTGATTGTCGTTTTAAATTTACACCATCTTGGCTATTTATAATTAGTTTGTAAGGTAGAAATTGAACTCAGCAACCTCAAAACCCAGATTTAAAACATATTACAAGCCATATCCAACGTAAGCAAATGACGATCAATTAAAATTCCGCCATTTTGGATTTCGTTTTGACGGCTATTTTGAATATCTGCCAAGATGGATTCTCGAAATTGATTTTTGCCATCAGAACTGAACCCAGGGACATCTAAAACCATGTAAATGACATGTTACAATACGATTAACTTAAAATCCGTTATTTTGGATTCTATTTTGGCTGCCATTTTGTATTGCTGCCATATTGGATTTTTGAAATTTATCTTGGAATTCAGAGACCTCGAAAACTATATTACAGACAAAGTAAAAGTCATATTTTACAAGATTCTCGCTGGTTAAACATACATTATGCAAGAGCTAAATTTACCTGTTGCAGGTCTTTCTTTAGGCACGAAATGTTATATAAACTATTAATTAGACATTTATTAACAAAACAAGACCATAATCAACCCTTGATGACATCGGATACTCAAGATTTTAACTAGATTAGAACGGTTCGCCATTTAAAAATTTAATTTAAAAATGGGAAAGCGAGGGTAAGTCTCGAATATACCAGTTCCCTGGTTACCACTATGCACACATCTTGTCAAAACTACAAACAGGGATAATTTGGCTCAGAATGAAGCAATTTAAATGAAATTTTTTTTATTATTTATTTTTGAATTATTATAACAAGAATGACCAACTCTTTACTCTTAACTAATGTATCTTTAAATGGGGAAAATGTAATTTTATTACCAGATTTGGCAGTCATTTGAATTTGTTTCGGCCATATTCGTCTTTTCTGCACATTTGGCATCTAGAACCACTTTGTGTTTGAAGACTTTAAAAAACAAATTATTTATTATCCTACCACTAACGCACTGGTTACGAGATATTGAATTATGTTAATTACGCCATTTCGTCTTGTTCGAATTCGTCCGAATTTAAGTATGATGTTGTCTGACATATGTACTATTGAACCAAACTGCATTGGTTTCTTTTGCAATCTGTTTGGGGTAAAACGTTACCCCCCCCCCCGCCTAATAATGGAACCATGAGAATTAAAAAAACAAAAAGTTGCCCTATTCCACAGAGAAACCACTATAAATGTCCATAGCCTGGAGAAATTGTTTTCAAAGTTTGAAAACATTAAAACGGTTACATTTATAAACAGCACAGGCGACTAAGTTGGTCGTTAAACCTAATTTTATTTCTAGATCTGTTTTCATACGTAAGAAAAATTGCTGAAACAAAAAGCCCCACTGCTTTGTAAAAAAAATTAAAGATGCAGTGGGGTAATACCAATGCTTTTGGTATTATTGAGACGGAAAATAGCACATTCAGGTAAACATCACACTTTTAACACAACGCTCCTCTAAGGTATGCTGAAATTCAAATGAATAGTTTCTCGTGCCAACGAGACAAGCCCAAGCAACCCCCCCCCCCTCGCCACCACCATACCATGTTGAGTTGATTGTAACTTATAAATTATCTAGGTCAATAACATTTCAGAAACAATTCACAGATTATATTTTTTAGAATTCTCTAATTCTGGAACATTTCAGAAAAAATCCACCAATATTTCTCAAACAACTATTCGCTAAACCATATTTGTTGCACGTGCAATACAGGTAAAGTTAGTGTTGGAGCCTCGCATGGAATGGTTAAACAAATTATTTATCATTTAAACTTATAAAATACATAGATATTCCAAATAGTCAATTCTGCAGTAACACGTGCTTTGCTGGGAAGTGGTATTTTTAATGCACTAGTATTCTTCCGCCTGTCAGTTCTTGAACATATTGACGATGTGATGCGTGCACTTCCTCCCAGAACTCCACTTTCTGCACTCGGGATAACCATTCTATAACGTTCGGCCACATTTGTGACTTACTTCCGGTCCACTGAAGTTGCGCTACTACGGTAGCCACAAAAATGTCGGCCATTGTCAGTGTTTTTCCTGTTAAATACTTGTTTTTGCTTAAATACCGTCCTTCTAAAATTTCCAATTTCTGTGTTACATGGCGCAGACCTTTATCAACGATGGCATCATTTAAATGTTCCGAGGGGACAGCATACTTTTCAAGAAATTGTGGGTAAATATAACCATAGCCAATTACCCTGAATAAATAAAAAGTGGTTGCTTGTTAAAGACAATACTATTATAGTTGTTGGAAATATTTTTATAGGTTATATTTATAGGTTCAAGCAACGAACATTTAAGTCTTATTACCGATAGTATATTAAGTTTGTTTCCGAAAATTTGTTGTCCCGGTTCAGATTTTGGTTAACCTTGGTTTTAATTGTCATTAACTACAAGACGGCGTGACGTTAGAAATTTCACAATCGCCTATTATATTCGTTTTCTAACACATTGATAAGTTAAGGGTCTTGTGAAATTACTTAGAAATCGCTTTGCTCTCGCAATAAAAGAAGGCAATAGATTTACAAAATTTACATTGCCATATTATGTGAAACCAGTCTACTGGGTATAAATAAATGTATAAAAATAAAAAAACAACCTATAGTGAAAGGATTGACACAAATATCTGTGATATATATCGATATAATAAGATGCATTCCACGGTGTTATATTGACCAGTTTCTATTTCATGTTCGACTTGCCAGATAATAAAACAACAATGGGACTTTTAACATTTCTGTGTTAAAACAAAAATAAAAGGTCAGAGTAAAATCGATTGCAAGTATTGAGTGTACAATGTCGTTGCCGTTCAAGAACAGTATATAAGTAATTTTTACATGTATACTACTACTAGAAAAGGGTTAACGTCTGCCTCCGCCGAGGGTGATATCCCGTTTAAGCGTTCCCGAATAAACTCTAAGAAAAAGGAAGGGGCGTGAAAAGGGAAATCACTTATCGCTGTAATATTATCTATCTTCTAATAACAAATTATGAGGATTCAGGCGATGGAAGCAATCAGTTGCTTACTGCCAACGTTGCCAACCTGCAGGAATAGATGCTGTCTGCAGCAGTTAAGTTTTAGCAAAAATTGTAATCATACAGGTTGTGCTATATTTACTGTAATCACTGGCTTCTGTTTTGTACCAAAGATCAGCAAATCAATAAACATACTAGAAAAGAACAAAACCACTAAATATTCGTAATGGTATAGAGAAAGGGATGGGGAGTATATATTATTAATCACATAAATATGAGATTTTAGGATGAGCTCTTATGACTGAATAAGTGTTTCATTAGACCTGTTACGCACTTTCCTTCATGTAAACCTGTCAGTTTCGAGAAAATTTTGTTAAAATTACCTGTGCAGTTCACTATTAGCCCAGCTGATAACAGATTCTGTTGCAAGACGAGTGCTCTGATTTGATCCAAATCCAGCGTGATTTGTATATGTCTGTGCTAGATAATTCAATATGGGTGGACTGAAAGTTAAATAATTGTAATTTTTTATGAAATAAAATGATTTTGTATTCACCAAGTTCTTCAGTTATCAGAAATGTAGGATCCTGTCCTAGGATAAATATTTACGGTTTTATTGGAGCACAATTCTGATCCGGCATGGTGAGTACAATACCCCACCTACCCCTTTCCCCCTCAACCGGATATGAGTTATGAATTACTTTTACGGTTATAGGATGCAGAAATGCACAATAATCTGGTACAGATGCCGAATTTCATATATTTGGGGGAATTTGACCGTCTACAAACTTGCGATGCCCTCCACCATCACCCTCTGGTGGAAATCAGGCAGAAATTGTTGCCATAAGACGCAAAGGTAAACATAGGCTGCTAAACAACGGCAGCATTGTCAGGCTACTCACCCTTCAAATATAATGTAATCACCGTCAACCAATAACGGCACTTGAGACGCAAAGGTAAACATAGGCTGCTAAACAACGGCAGCATTGTCAGGCTACTCACCCTTCAAATATAATGTAATCACCGTCAACCAATAACGGCACTTCTTGATGAGAGTTACGTAGCAATACATCTGGTAGAGTTGTTTCCCCTTTCGTAAAATCTACATCAATTAAAACATGCGGGATATTATTCTGAAACACATACATACAGTTATTTCAGAATGGTGTGAAATAGGAAAGGGTGGCAATAAAAAATAGTCACCATATGGAAAAGGTTTTCGGGGATTCGTACCAAGGTATTTAGAATGTTGTTTTCAATTCTGGATTTGCAAGGGAATATTTTAAAACAGTGACATCAAATCGGAGAAAACCCACGAGGTTAGACAGGCGACCCTTACACATTGTCATATACAAAAGACAAACCCACAGTATATGCAGCTAAAGTGCAAATATTATAATTCTTTCTCGAGTGTTAGTTCTAAACCATATTGAGATAAATGTTGTGAAATTATTGCGTTTATCCTTGTAGGCGTTCCCCGTCTTCATTAGCCCATTCGGTGAAAAACAGTAGGACGTTAAGCACCATTTCATTTTGTAGGCGTTCCCAAAAAATTAGTAACTTGCATAAATAAAATGCCGAGTTGTACAACTTTACAAATGTATCTTGATTGAGATTGTGTTATTTGTCGGGGGCTAAGTGGGTAAGACGCTGGCTCGCTAGCCTGGGGGTCGGGTGTTCGATCCCTGCATTGGCCGAGAAAGTTAATCCAGATTTTCGGCGTGGTTCCCCCTTGTCAGTGATGCAGGACGGAGGGCCTGACAAGGACAGTTGTCTAGTCGTTCGGATGGGACGAAAAACCGAGGTCCTGTGTACACATTGGCGTGCACGTAAAAGATCCCGTGACAGTTGGAATTCGGTATAAGAGTAGGTCGTAGTGCCGCTGTCCGGGCAAAATTTTCCTCATAGCAAACTGTATGGCGTATGCCCGTCTTCATTAGCCCAGTCGGAGCGGAACAGTAGGACGTTAAACCCCATTTCATTTCATTTCGTTATGTGTCGGTAGTAAAACTTTCTTCGTGCACGATAATTGGAGAGAGAATCATGCAATTATCTATTATTAGTGTTTTTATTTTGCTTTAGTGTCGTACATAAACTTATCTTTGATATTATTAAAGGACAATATTGGTGTCAGCCAATATCACATATATGATAGAACTAATTAAACACGTTCCAAATATAATTTTAACACAGAGATCATTGCTACGATAGCTGAGTAATACAGGTTTCCTGGATCGGAAGTGACAAACGCCAAAGGAAAACACGAGTCATACCTCTATATAACTGACTGATGTGACGAGTGATAACAGATACACGGCCGAATTTCTTCTCACTAATAATTCCTTCCAAGGCCAAAAGTTATTAATTGAGACTGTGAGAGGATATCTGACAATCATAAAAAGGATTGACTGCCACTAGATAAGAGAACACGAAAGAAAAACAGAAAAAGTCCGTGCATTACGCATGTTTTTATAAGGTATAGAATGAATATAAACAAGGGAATGTACGGACTATTTCTATTTTTCTCCTGTTCTCTTATCTAATGACATTCAATTACTTTATTAAATTGTCAGGTATCCCCTTACAGTCCCATATAACAACTTTTGGTCTTGGAAGGAATAATTAGTGAGAAGAAATTCGGCCGTGTATCTGTTATCACTCGTCACATCAGTCAGTTATATAGAGGTATTACCCGTGTTTCCTTAGGCGTTCGTCACTTCCGATCCAGGAAACCTGTATTACTCAGCTATCGTAGCAATTATCTCTGTGTTAAAATTATATTTGGAATGTGTTTAACCAGCTCTATCACATATGTGACAATGACTGGCACCAATATTGTCCTTTAATGCTGGTGATAAAAATTGTAACCCTATCAGAACAGATCAAATTAATGAACTTTCTTCATGCACGATAATTGGAGGGAGAATCATGCAATTATCTATTATTAGTTTTTTATTTTGATTTAGTGTCGTACATAAACTTATCTTTGATATTATTAATGCTGGTGATAAAAATTGTAACCCGATCAGAACAGATCAAATTAATGGATTTCCCTAGTCAAATCCATGAATCGATTGCAGTTTAACGTTCCTTTTCAATATGGCTACGATTAAAATGATTTCCTCACGTCTGCTACCTTTTGTAACTGATCAGAAGATAAGGTTATTATTTTCCCATTAATATTTCTCTGACTTGGCAGTTTCTATTTTTGTAGAAAATATATGCTCGTTATGATTTCCTAATGTCCCCTTTGCTTGCATACTTTCCCATCGTGTCAATGTAAAAGTTCAAACGAACTTTATGAGGTGTGACCATTGTTTAAGTAGCCAATAATAGCTACCTATGAAAAGTATCAGGGCCAACGCTTTCACCCAATCAACCATCTTTATAACGAAATTTGGTTCTGAATATACTAATTTAGATTTTTAAATCTTTCAAACTTCACACCCAGTTATGCTACTTCGCATGGGAAACATGATGTAATAGTGTCCTGAAAAATGATCACCACAATCAAACACGGAATTCAATGTGTGGAGACAAAAGATGTAGTTTGCTTTATTGGGATCTGCTCTTCAATTCATTTCAATCAGAAGCCATAATCAATGAAGTTATGGTCCCATACATGCCAATTTCGAAAGGAACCGAGATCGTTGGGAGATACACCTATAGTTTACGTATAAAAATTGTAATCTGTATAGTGTCCACAAACAAAATGTGAACGGACGGACAAGGGCGACGACAATATACGTCCACATGAAAATGTGGGTGCATAAAAACGTATATATATATTCAAAGACCTGTAGGATGTCCGCACCCAACAAAAGGCGTGTCGCGATGAAATAATTCGTTATATGCAATTCCTTCGAGTGTTAATACTTCCATGCTTTTATAATCTCTACATTTTAGTTCAAGAACATACTATATATAATATACTGAAAATAACATTCAAGCATTTGTAATTACTTATTAATGAAAATTTCCGTTACTCTACAAGATGGTTCTTTGACAATATTTTGTTAATAATACCTTTGTTTTCTTTCACTCAGACAATATTGATCTGTTTAGCCCACTGACACTCCAATAACGGATAATCATATAAGTTTAATACCTACAAAAACCATTTGTTGCATTGAATGGCCCACAAAACAGGGTCTAAATTTCATTATCTGTGAGCCAAATCTTCAACATTTTTTTTTTTAAAAATAATTTCAACAAGAAAAATAATATAATAAATTGTATTTAATATCCTATTCAAAATAGCACCTAACTAATCATAAAAATCGAAGCATAAGCCTACTTCGAGCAAATATTTTTTTTCACATGCGTCATCTGAACTCCCTGAAAACCACTATAGGATATACTATAAGCTTATACCACAAACCTGTCTTGAACTTTGCATGAACGTTCCCAGCAACTCTAATTTCTGTTTATTTACACACCGTTAAAATCACCAAAGCAAGAATACCCATTAAAACGTCCTTATATTAGAGGGAAGTTAAGCTCTTGGGTGGTATAATTTGGGATTAGAATGCCTCACTAATGCCTCTTACATGTACCAATAATAGACGTTTCTGTTACCCGATAATTAAAATAAATGTTTTAGCAACATGAAGAACATTACTCCAAAAAAAAAATACAAAACAACTGGCAAACTATCTTTCATATGATCCAAAATACAAAGGGGGATTAATCTGGCATAAACAATATGATGAAGCTAATTATCAAATAGATACTCCTGATGACGGCAAGATTCATAAAATTCAATATAAAACTTTGTTCTCTTGAGCATTTAAAAATATGGACAAAAGTATGCCACCACCCTCCGCTATAACACTACTTTTAAATATCTATTAGAAAGGCCATTATCTCAGTCTTGATACAGGATGAATGAATGAAATGGGGGTTAACGTCCTACTTTTCTGCACCTACCGGGATAATGAAGACGGACTTGATAAGGAGTGTCTATGCAGAACATCATAATTCAATTAACAGCGAGCTACCATTTCATTTTTGAACTTTGCTGGGTCCGGAAGTTTGGATTTCACTATGAAGTCTGGATTAAGTGTTCGTATTCCCATGTCAATGTTACCTGGTTGGTGCTGGCGTGTCATTAATACACATTGCATTACATTTCCAATTATTTACCCAGGTGAAAGAAAGTTAAAAGAAAGTCCTACCTGTAAAAGATAAAACCAAACTGCACGACACGCAGGTGATATTCTAATTAGGTAAAGTTCGAGTGGCTTGCCATTCCTTGTCTTTAATTTTCCTTTAGTTCCTTTGCTAGCCATTGTTGTTGAACTAGACAACAAGGAGTAAATGTATGTATTTAATGATCTCCCACACTCACGCCTGTAATGTGGATGACTGACTGGGGGGCACAATCGATATAACACACGATATATAAAAATAATTATTCAACTGAAATATCGACCCGAATACCTGGCAGTCAATCATCCCAAAAGCTTCTTAATGATCGTCTGCTGGGAATTGTTTGAAGATGGCACCACTGAATTAATACATTTAATAGATTTTTGATTAGAAATTGTTCGATGGGCACTTTAGGTGGCGAGCAAGGTTAGTTTTCTCAATAATCACTAACTTAATAGTGCAAAAGAAACCAGAAATTCTTATAAATGTCAATTCAATTGTCCTTCAAACAGTATTATGACAGAAACTCTTAAGACAATATAAATAAAATATAGTACCCTCGATCATAAAGTAGTGTAAAGTTGAACATCTTCAACGGGCCTCAAATGACTGGAACCAGCTGCTTTGAGTTGTAAGAGTTGCTCAGGTTGATTCATTTTCAATGTATGTCAGTTAAAGCGATTTGCTCTCAGTTTCCGAAATGTCATTTGCTCTCGGTTGTAAGACAGACACAAGCCCCACTTTATAGCACAGGAACTTTGGTAAAGTGTCCAAGCAACTGGTTTATCCGTGACAACGTATAGTATCTGCAGCACCGCATCGCCTTGGGGCCTTGTGCCCCCTGTCCACAAAAGAAATTTCAGTCGTGTAAAATGCAGTGAATGTAGGCTTGATCTGGGGAGTTCGAAACGAGTCCCGCTTGTACCGGATTATCGGGTGTCGGGAGGGGCCCATTACGAACAGGCTAAATATCACAGCACGCCACCCGGGAAAACATATCTCACTAATGCCTGCACTAGTAATCCGTAAAAACAAAGAGGTGTGATGACCTTAGCCAACTTCAACTAGCACCATATACCACTGTACCACCCACCATGGATGGATTGCTTACATAAAAGCGGCATGTGACCCCCCCCCCTCCTCCCCACATGTCCGAGGCTGCAGTCCCCGCCCCACCCACCTTGTTAATCCGGACCTAAATATCAGGAAGCATATTCTACTATTATAATAACAAATGAACATTGTTTAACGTATAATTAACTCGATTTATTCGAACGGTATATAAATTAAAAGGAAATTTAAAGATGAAAATAGTTCAAAAGAATGGCTCGTTTATAAAGGCCGGATATAAAAATTGAAGTAACGTTTTATAGATATTGTATGCATTGTCAAAGCTGTTTTAAAAAAATATAAATCAAATATTTTTCAAAAAAGGGTGTAAAATACAACTGCTGATAGACCTCGTTTTTAAAATAAGATTTGGATACAGACAGACGATCTAAAATAAAGTTGTTGGAGGGAGCACAGGCCCGGCGGAGTAGGAGGGGCTAGTAGGGGGGGGGGGCTAAATAGCCCCCCCCCCCCAATATTTTGGCCGCAAGTACCCTTTTCTCCAGGTTGTTGCACGCAAGTAACTATTCTATTAAAAACTGAGACTTCTAGAACGTAGACTTTCAGAAGAAGAAAAGCTGCTATGCTCTATACTGTTTCCAGGGTTAAGAGACCCGCGTTTGCGAGGGTCGCGATTAGATAACTGAACGGTCGATCTTTATTTCAAGTCCATCTCATGTCTGTTGTATCTATGACATATTAGGTAATTAGAAAAACGACGGGATAGAGTTTTATTTATACTCTTTCCTTGTGCCCCTTATCCATCAAATAAATCACTGCTATGGCCAGTTGAAACAAGCGGTTGCCATGCAAGATATGCCCACATTTTGTAAGAAATGGACGGGGAAGAGGTAAAATCAAAAAGGCTATCCTATCATTCAAGATCATTTGATCCTTAACATATTTAAGGTTCATCAGAATGGGACAACAAAGGTAGCCCCCCCCCCCCCCCCACCTGGAGTGCCTACAAAATCCGTACATATTTCAGATTTTGCCTGAAAAGCAGGGGCTATAGCTCTAGAATGTAAGGTCTGATGCTACCAAAGTCGAACGGATCCAAGAACTTTTGATCCTTAACACACAGTTTAAAGGACAATATTGGTGTCAGTCATTATTACATATGTGATAGAACTGGTTAAATACATTCCAAATATAATTTTAACACAGAGATCATTGCTATGGGAGACGTGTAACAAACACGTGAAGAAACGGGAAGTGACGCCAAACATGACAAACACGAGTTGTCCTTCTATATAACAGACTGAAGTAACGAGCGGTAACAGACAAACGATCGAATTTCATTTCACTGATAATTCCGTTGAAGTTAAAAAGTTATTATATGGGACGGTGAGAGGGTATCTCACAATTCAAAAATAGAATTGGCTGTCACTAAATAAGGGACACGAGAAAAAGTAGAAAAATCCCGTGCATTCCCCCGTTTTTATTCATTCTGTTCTTAATAAAAACATGGTAATGCACGGACTTTTTCTAATTTGTTCGTTATCTTTTATCTACTGACAGCCAATTCTTTTTTTTGAATTGTCAGATATCCTCTCATCGTCTCATATAACAACTTTTCATCTTCAACGGAATTATCAGTGAAATGAAATTCGATCGTTTGTCTCTTACCGCTCGTTACTTCAGTCAGTTATATAGAAGGACAACTCATGTTTGTCATGTTTGACGTCACTTCCCGTTTCTTCACGTGCTTGTTACATATCTCCCGTAGCAATGATCTCTGTGTTAAAATTATATTTGGGATGTATTTAACGAGCTCTATCACATATTTTATAATGACTGACGCCAATATTGTCCTTTAAGTTCATAGTGAAAGGTACAGAAACTTCATTCATATTTAACATTTTGTGTAAACGGCAGGGGCAGATGCGCAAGCAAATGGAACCCATCCATGAACTAGTGATACTCTTTAAGTTTCATCTAAATCGGATAAAATTGTGACCTCTAGATGGTCCACAACCTGGGTATTACATGATTTTATTATACTATTTTCGAAAAGGAGAGTGGCTATTTTGACGGGGAAGTTTCGCTCCGATTTTGCGGAAATAATTATTGTGTAACGGTGATATATTTGGACAGTTTTGAAAATAAGATACAAATTATGACCTCTAGGGTCCGTAAGCTAAAAACGTGATATTTCCTACAATCAGGGGATCAGAATCCAGAAAGTTACGGTCCAATACGAGCCAATATCGAAGAAACCCAGATCTTTGGGATTTTTCGTACAATCAGGGGCTATAATCCAGAAAGTTACAATCAGATATGTAATTTTTCGTACAATCTGGGGCCATAATCCAGGACGTTACGGTCCAATACATGCCAATTTCGAAATTTTGGATAAAAAAATTTTACCTGCTATAATTGAATGTTTTTTTACAATCAAATAAAAACTGTTACTTCTACTGGGTCCACGGTTCGTAAAATCAGGGGCCATAATCCAGGACGTGGCGGTCCTATATACGCCAATATCGAAAGGAACCGAGGTCTTTCGGTAATAAACGTACATTGTAAGTTTCATCAATCATTATGCATAATATATTTGTCAAGTTCGGCATCACAGGATTAAACCACCATAGATTGTGTTTTTATGGTAAGGGAGTTAAAAATGAAATCAAATTTCACTTCATTGCTGGGTAATTTTATTAGCCAGAAATCGTTTAGAAAGCGTCTCCGACGATCTAGATCAAGAGCTTCCGGGGCCTAGATGGCCCCTGGACCCTCGCCTATAAGGACCTAGGATGGTAGCCCCCCCCCCCCCAATCAAGAATTGCTTCCGCCGGCCCTGGAGCAGACAAGCCGGTCCGCTTGTCACGAAGGCATGGCAGCTAGTGAACTTCAGACATTCATGCGTTTGAGTTTTCATATAGCAATTTCATCTTGGCAGTGATGTAGGATACGGGGCCGGCAAGGAACCGTGTCTTGTCTTTCGGGTGGGAAGCAAACCCGACAGACCGTGTAAACGTTGATGTGTGCACGTAAAATAATCATTGACAGTTGGAATTCGTAATAAGAGTAGACTGTAGCGTCGCTGTACCTGGCACAAATAGCCACATGATGGCCCATTATCCCGGTTGGTACAGAACAGTAGGACGTTAAACCCCATTTCATTTAAATTTCATGATTGTGGGGATAAAATGCAGCAATCGCATGCTTGGTCGAAATACAAGCAGATAGTTAAACATACTTCAAAAACGGTAAGATATATCCGATATATATATCCGAATAAAAATGATTGATTTTCAACGAGACCACAATTTACTGTTTATTTTACATGTTAAAGGCCGGTTACTCTACATGTTCAATACAGTGATCGTTTTATCTTTACACGTGAACATGTCCTATACATAGTGATATACTACATACAATCATGTTGTGTATAAATTATAGAAACGTTATTGCATTATAAAAGATCAATGCATGTCAATATTCTATATAAGACTAGTTTTGATTGTTTAGATTACGTGTTTTACGACATTTCTACAGAAAATGTTGATGATTACTGATCAATGAAGTGGGCAGTTAATGATAAAATGGAAAGTTAAAAGGAAGTGGAGTATTGATGATTTGAGTTCGTTTCACCAAGGGCACAATTCATTCGATCACCGGAAAACCTCACATTAATCTGTTTAACGTTCCCATATATATTTATTCGACATGCTCATATTAATCTCTATTCGATATTCTCATATTAATCTATTCTACATTCCCATATTAATCTATTCAATATTCTCATATCAATCTACATGATGTTCCCATATTCTTCCATTAATCTATTCGACATTCTCATATCAATCTACACGATGTTCCCATATTCATTATCCATTCGACGTTTCCATGTTAATCTATTCGACATTGTCATATTAGATCGGCAGCCCAGAGCACTTTGGTCAAACGAATGAGGTACCAATATCTGAGTGCCGGAATGAATACTGTGTAACCTAGGATATTCGGATATGGATCTCTGCCGGGCTCCAGTTGCTGTGTGTGGCCTTTGGGGCCCCAGAGAGGGCACCCAAATAAGGGCTGGATCAAACATTGTGGATACAACTCGGAAACAAGTTGAAA